CGGTGAAATCAAGGGGTGGCAAGCCGCCCGGCTTGATGAAAGCGATTGTCAGTGAGCTTCCGTGGCAAGTAGCCACCTGCGATCTAATGGGGCCGTTCCCCAGGAGTAAGCAGGGGTTCATACATTTGATGGTAGTTATTGATCATTTTTCCAAATGGGTGGAGCTGTTTCCACTGTGGAAAGTCACAGCGCGAGCGGTGCTAGAGAGGCTACAGGAAGTGTTTTGTCAGTTCGGATTTCCGAAAAGATTGATCACGGACAACGCATCGTATTTCACCGCTCGGGTGTTTGGTGATACGAGCCAGTTCCCTAGGAATAGATCACTGCACCACGTCGCCCTACAATCCCCAGTCCAATTTGACGGAGCGAACCAATCGTACGCTTAAACCGATGTTGGCGGCCTTTGCCGAAAGTCAAAACGATTGGGCAGACCATTTGAGTGAACTCGCGTTTGCAATCCGAACCTCCGAGAGTCGCTCTACTGGTTTCTCCCCCACCTTCCTTAATTTCGGAAGGGAGTCGGCAAATCCGGTGACCAGTGTCATGCAATGCCAGCTCGGAGACTGAGGAAGAACCGGCAGACTGTTCTGCTTACGCTTCCACACTTCGGGACAGGCTTTGTCGAGCTCTCAGTAGAGCGAGGCAGAGTTGGGCATCGGCCAGAGCCGAACAAAAGGCCCAGTACGACCGAAAACCTCGCCACCTTTCATTTAAGGTAGGTGACCTCGTCCTGAAGCGCAACCACGCTCTTAGCGACACGAGCAAGGGTTTCCCAACTTCGCTCGCTCCAAAGTGGCTTGGTCCGTACCGAGTGGAGAAAGTTTGGACTCCACTCGCGTACTTGCTGAAAAACCCGCTTTCGGGAAAACTCAGCCGTGCCCACATCGCAGACCTGAAAGCCTTTGCGTCAAGGTCTGACAAGCCTGTGCCAGCGGCCAGTGACTGTTCGCGCAAGCAACGGCGCACACCCGGCGCGGCGGACCGCATTCGGACCACGCACCGGTATAAACTGAGGAAGCAGTCACCTTAGTGATTTCGCGCCGAACGGCGGGCTTATTTCCGCAACCGAAGGCCCTCATTTTTACTGTCTAGTCTCAGTTAGCTAACTTCTTTACAGCCAGTGCTTGCAAAGAAGTCGGTTCTGCCCAGTTACTGCTGCTGATTGTCAAAAATATTCGAGTGTTGTTGATACTTGATGTTTTTTTCCCGTGTTTTTTTTTTCTTCTCGCTGGAGGAGGGGATTGTGAATTGGTGCTTTAGCGTGGGGAGAGGGACAAAGGACACTTTGCGCTTCTTTTGCGGTGCGCGTTTGGAGAGACCCGACCATCGGAGGTGTGTGTGCGTGTATGCGTGTGTGTGGCAACAACTTAAGAAGTCACCGACCCCTACACCACCTTGTGCTCTGGAGGTGTTCGGAGACCTGAGGTCGTTAGGCAGCCCGGTTGCGCCCTGCTCCCGACCGTCGCTGATAAATTCTGCTTGCCTTTCTATCACGGCTACTGCACGAGGCCAGCTGTCGCAGACGCTGTGCACCACTCGACCGACGCCGCAGGACGCCTCGCAGCCAGTGGATTTGGCGACCATTATTCCAGCAGAAGGGCCGGCTGTCGCAGCGAGGTCCATCCGAACCTCCACCGAGGCGGCGTTCGTCGGACTCGCAGGGCTGTCGTCAACATCGACGATATGAAGTCACCCAAGTCAAACATTACGTGACGCTGCCCCTCCGAGTCGTGAAAGCGCTCTTGCGTGAGCATCATGAACTCCCGTTACTCCTCTTCCACGGAGCCATTGTATTTCTCAAGTGTATTTTTGTGTTGTTTTTTTTTTTTTCAGCAGCAGTTGCAGAGTGAGGCTGAGGCTAGCTGTTGCCCATTGCATGACGCCTTTGTATGTATGGGCGACGACCGGCTGCCTTTGCAGACTGATATATAGGGTGAATTAAGGAGAGGAGGATGTGGGGATCTGAGGCGTGCCTGCGACCATTTCGCGGGCATTTCGCGGGCATTCCGCCGCACGGCCACAACCTTTTGCTTTTCCTGCTCTGATAACGACCCGTGGGGGCACGGCACGCGGCACGCGCGCGCCGAGGGAGTGCTCTCTCCTCCGTGGTCGGCGCCGGGTAAGCACGTGTTTTTCTTCGTACGCGTCCCCTTTGGGAATCGCCGAACTGTAGCCTGCCTGGGGTGGCCTTGGGCACCTCGGCAGGCGTGTTTACTTGAGTGCTAGCTTCGGTAGCGTACGCTAAGCCCACAGCGGTGCCTAGTGCTTGAAGTGGTCGTATCACAACGAGCCGCACTTGCCGTAGGCCTACGCCTACGAGGTTTGCCCTAACACTCGCGACCAGGCCCAGTGGCCATCGTGAGAGTGCGCAGCATAGCCGCGAGGGACCTTTTCCCGATCGGCGTGTCAAAGCTCGCCATTGCCAGCTGCGACATGCTCGCGGTTTTCCCCTTATTGTGAGCATCCGCATGCAGGTGCCTTTGCTACCCGCGTCCCGGGAGCGGACGTTGTGCTGTCGGTCCGGGTGCCGCCAGAGGCAATAAAGTGTTGTGTATTTTTGCATTAGAACACTGTCTGTTTGCCGCGCCGCGCTAAACGCCTTATTAGTTGAGCGCGCGCGGGGCGGTGCGCTACACGCGAGTAAACGGAGTAGCGGCCCTGTGGCTCGCTAAGCGTGAACCCGCGGTGATCGTCCGCTGCAGTTAGTAGCGGGGTCACCATAAGTGCTGTGGAGATTTAGGAAGGATAAAATTCGACACGTGCTTCGGAAACATTCAACATTGTGAAATTCATAGCAGTGACATAACAATGGACATATGGCATTAATAGACATGTGGCAGCAATGGACAATGGCATTAAGCAATGGACATATGGAGGAGAAATTTCGAAAAAGTCATTAAACTGAAAGAAATAATAATCTGAGGTTCGCTATAAATTAAACTGTACCCACACTATAATCCGTACCGCACTGAAATCAAAACAAGGGCCGCAGTTGTGCAAAACGTATTGCATGCAGCATCGTGCCCGAGAATCGAAGCAGGTGATGTGTGTTGCTCACAATCACTTCAATTTCCGAAATGTTAAAAAAATTTAATGTCCAAAGACTCACATTGGTAATGAAAAGAACACGAAAGCGAGGCAACAAAAGAAAGCATCATTGTAGAAACTGGCTGACTTTTGCTCAGACCACCTCAATTACGGGTATTACACAGAAACTATATCAAATCACATCCAAACTTTGCACACTGAAAGACACCAAATGTTCAATTTTACGAGCGCGCACCCGAATTCAAGACATTGCAATCGAATCGCACACCACCATTCGAGTGCTACATCCTCTTTTTGAATAATGATAGTATCCCTTCCTTACAAGTGCAGCCAGTGCAACAAGCTTCATCTATTCCATACCAAACCGCAACTTTAATTGCACGTGACCGCTACCGAAATCACCCAACCAACACTCATTAAGCCTAGCCTGCATTTCAGCATGTCGTCGCAAGAAGCTTGTTCCAGACATCAAGATCAGGAATCGAAAAGATAACACTCAAGCTCTGAACCCAGGACAGCGTTTGTGACACAAAGCTTACGTTAGCGGTCGGTGGATCAAGGAGGACAAACACCTGCCAAGCTTATGTATGGGGATCGGCGCACCCAGCACATCTGCTTTCATAAGTGCACTTGCTACTGCGTTCGTCAAAGATTTTATAGCAACCAGATAATAACTGGTTGTTCATCTTGGGAAACTGCACAAAACCAGTTCATCTTGGGAAACTGCACAATAAGCGGTAGGCATATACGTAAGGCTCTATCATAGGGTAAATGGGAGTCAAAAAGTACCACATTACAACTGGTCCTGCACTATAAGCAGTTACGTTACAAGTGGTCAGCACTTTACTAAGCAATTCACCCTTATAGAGTCACACATACACAATGACATAATACAACTTTCCAGGTCTCATTCACACACAGCCTCGCATTTGCACACATTTAGATATCTTCACATCTCATCAATTAGCAGTGCCTATACACAATGAGACTCGCATTCACCATCACAGACACTCAGTCACTTCATACTCATTTGTGGTCACAGTAAACAGCATACATATGCACATCTACTCACACTTGTAGGTACTTATTCACATTCACACTCACATGCACTTCCATCCACCGGCCTTCATGCTGATACTCACACCTACTCACATTTAGATGAGCTCAGTCATGTTCATACTAAAGGCTACAGACACTGACACTGACAGGTACTACCTCACTTTTGTTCCCACGTTGACTCACGATCACAGGTCTGTAGTACTTTTGTTTACTAACAACAACATTAAGTCACTCAAATTTATAGAGACATCTTCTGATAACAAAAAAGTATTTGCACACATTAAAACTAGTACTATACCGACTTGCAATGACAAGTAATTGCTGTCATTTGTACTGGCAGGGCACTTATCCTCACATTTACATCTCTCTATTGATTTTGTGTGTGCCCAGCATCACAGGAACCCACTAAAGATCATACTCAAATCTGATCCTACTCAGAACACAAGTATAGTCACAATAAGCGGCTCTCAAAAATTCATATTTGAGTTATTTCAGTGAGAGTAATCATACGTGAATGTGCTCATAAGTATCTACACTGACGTATACTGGAGAAACCCTGATGCTCTGCACAGGATCATTGTGACACATGAGTACTAACTTTTTAATTTCGTTCTATGCAGACTTATGCTCAACTTTACAGTTAATGCATAGTATAAATGGTATTGTATTGCCTGATCTATTTGGCAATTTATAACACGATTTATTTGTGCATGTTCAACAAAGGATCTGCCCTACATCCTTGCTTCTTATGCTGCTATTACTTAGACACCTGCTGTGAATATTGTTATACTGTGACAGAAGTACACATGACTATAGCCAAGGCAGTATTACCACAAAAATTAACAACATTGCATAAACCATCATCTTCTATCAGTTTACAATGCACAGCTCACCTTTTGTCACCATCTATAACAGCTGCGTAGTCTGTAGTTCCAGTGCTGTGTGTTGAAATTGTTGGGGGGACAACCGTTGGCACTAGGTCTAGAGGCTCAGCTGGTCCTTCTCTATCCATGTCTAGAGAAACCTACAAAACAATACTAATGCTTTTATTTTTTAAATGCAGTGCAGGTGTAATAAGTCACAGTGCTTTTAACACAATTCTTATAATCCTGAATTATCCACATGCTTTTGAATGAATAATATTGTGTCATAAGATTCATCTTTCCATATGCAGGGGTTCTCAATGCGAGTTTTTCAAATTATCATAATGGAAAATAAAGGTACCACAAATGAGTACAACCCCGTCGTGCTTTTTATACCCTTACTAACCTACACAGATACTCGAAAAGTTTGACATATTATATTTAACTTAACTAAACCATGTACTGGCGCATCTGTCGCAACACGTGACCAGTGAAACAGCACAGACTTGCATGAGCAGTAGAAGAAGCCTGCATAAAAGAATGAATCATAACTGTGTAGTTCACAATCAAATTGCCATGGTCGCTTTAAGCACCTCTCATCTTTACTCACAAATGGTGTTTGTAATCAATAGAAGGCAATAAACCTGTAAGCTCTGTAAGCTAAGATCCTCATGTCTGCCTTTGTTGTTGCTGAAAGATGGTTATGGCTGATTAAATGGCAATGCTTACTGTCCATGTGATGAGTGTGCAGACATTATTTGGCTCATATCACATCAACAGAGTGTTATTACAGCCCGCTCCACTCCAAGTATACTCCAAGTTATCGGCCTCTATGCGGCATATTAGCCGTGGACAATTTTCTAGCTTTTGTTATGCTTCTTCTGTTCCAGAGCAGAACTATGACAATTGCAGCATCCTCTGGCCAAGTTCAGCTTTTACATTACAGACCACTTTTACAAAGTAAGAAAGCATACATAACACAATTATTCATAAAATATTCAGCCTTGCTATTACAATGCATTACAAGCACATTTCATATAAGAAAAATGAAGTGTCCACATGAAGATAGCCACACGATAACCAACGAGGTTGCATTCCAGAGCCAGTTTAATCCATTTGGGCGCCAACGCATCAGCAATCTTTTTTCAGCTATGCCGTCTTCTTTACTTCAGATCACTTTTCTTCATTCAGCGACTTCGAGTATACGAAAGCACTTTCGCGTCTTTCACTCAGCAGGTGACTGAGAAGCCGCAGCACTTGCTGAAAGCATGCTGTCACCGGAGGCAGCCATCTTGAAATGAGTCATGCTACTGCATGCACGAGCAAAGCCTCCCAAAATTTATGCCTGGAACGTGAGCCGCGAACGCGCTGCCCTACCCTCTGATTCTACCCTCCTCCTTTGGTGCGAAGGCGAGCGTATCCAACGGCTGGCCCCTGCGAACACAGCAATGCTCTCAGTTGCCTCCAAGCAGCCGTGATGCCATGTGACAGAGCGGTACGGTTATGTCACATGACTGAGCGGTACAGAGGTACAGTGGCTAGAATAGGGAACTGTGATGAGCGGCAAGCGGCACCTACGGAGTGCACTGAAACCTCCGAGGAGGAGCCGCGCGGGGGTGCGCGCAATCGTTTATACGTTGTTTGCACATTTCTGACAGTTTCGTCGGGCGCGTTCGTCGTGTTTTTTTATAGCAGTGGCCCTCTGACACCAATGCTTTTGTATGCACTTTCATGACACGAAAACAAAGTCATTGCTTCATCCAAGGGTGCACTACAGGCTATAAGTCATTTAAAAAGAAGCATGCGTTGTTTGGCGTTCCAAAGGGCGAAGCTCTGTTTGCGCAGCGGCAGAGAGCGATCCCACGAGCTGACAAGCTGCTTCAAAAAAACTCGGCTGTGTGCGAGCTGCACTTCGACGAGATGTACATCTCCCGGCACTTCGAGCACGCTGTGAATGGTGAAATTAACCGCATTGAAAGGGGTAGGCCCATAGGCGTGCTTGCCATTTAGGGGCGGGGGTGAAGGTCCATTGCAAGGCGCCTCCTCCTTATTAAATCAGTGTATGAGGCAGGTTTCGCACGCCCCTTTTAAATGACTGAAGGAGTGTCCCGCCACCTAGTCAATGTATAGAGGAGATTTAGCGCCCCCCTACCAGGTGGCTAGGAGGGGGGCCGCCCGCGCCATTTATTTCCCCCTTCATGCAGACGCTTATGAGTAGGCCTTTCTGAGAAGCTCTTCGCATTTGTAGATGCCTTTGAAATCACTTTTTCAAAGTGGTTTAGCTACAACGAGCTTCACAAGGACAGCTTGAAAGAGCTCGTTTCCTGCTTGAAAAAAAAAAAAAGTCACACGGGGCTGCGCACAACAGGGTCTGAGCCTCACCAATCAAGTGACCAAGTTTTCTCCGCTCACCCATTCGCGTTTTTACATAAGGCACTCCACAAGCAGCGAGAATGTCCACGTGAAAAGAGAAAGTACCTACCTGAAGCTCATGCGCATCACCTAGGCTTGCAGCCCAATGTTCTGTGAGGCACTTGTGAACTATAAAACTTTTTTCCTTGGGCATAAAAAAAGACGCGCGACCAATTATGAAGAACACATTGTTGTAACAGATAGTGAGTCACTACTCGGAATTGCCTTGTATGACCTGTGTGCAGAAAATAAAAGGTTTTCATCCAGATATCGCTCATGATTCTCATCTCTGAGTTTGACATTACGAATGATGGAGCTTTATTTACGGATTAGTGCTTGAGGAAAAGGTGGTTCGCCGTGAAAGGTGTTACAAGCAATGGCTCACAAAGAAGTTCATCGTTCCACTCTTCTACCATTTCACGTCGATAAAATGTTTCAGTGCCATCATGCGCTCACTTTCAGCACCCTATTGATATTTCAGTTCAGCCGTGCACCCGCGTAGGCAGCCTGTTATTCCCGAACCTAATTAACATATTTTATCCGTCGTCATTTGAGGGCATGCACGAGCAACAAAATAATTTTAAATGTCTCACATTATGCGCGCATGGTTGATTCTCGTCTCTGCGCAGCGCATGCCGCCTTAGGTTACGTGGAAACGTGTGCCAGCGCCACCTGGCGGTTTCCTCCCAAGGCGTTACGCGCTAGCCGGCGCGTTCATCACACTTCCCTGTTCTAACTACTGTAACGAAGGCCAGCGGTCTCACAAGGCAGCTGGACGCAACACAAGGCAGGAGGCATGGCTTCCGAGATAGCGTGCTGGCAGGAGGCTCTCAATTGAAAAGAGAGCGATGTTCCAGGCATAGTTTTTCTAGGAGGCGTTGGCACGAGAAAGGATGCGCGCAAAGGATGTCCCCCTTCCAGTTGCGAAAACAGTAGCGACACTCCAAGCTCCACTCAGCGAGCTTATAAGCAGCGTGGGCCTCGCTCGCTACCTCGCTTATGGCCATAGCAGAGGATGCATGCGCACTCGTGTTTCTGCTCCGCTTAGCTGCTAAGCACAGCTTAAAAATGCCAAACTAAAATACTCTAAATGTTTGCATAAGACAATTTCCATAGATGTTATCACCATACATCACCATACCCATGGCACTGTCATATCTGGCCCCAAGACAGTGCCTTGATCCAATTGCATGCCTCTTAATTGATCCTTGAACTTGATTTCGCATTTATACATGGTACAGATAACAGGAACACAGACAAAAAGCCACATAACGGCTTGAGGAGGTCTGTGTCCCTTTTTTTGGCAACAAACAGTGGACAGGCAAAATCAAAAGTACAATGCATAAAAAAAAACTTGTATCTGAAACATCGAACTGATCCATATACAAAGTTTGCATCGCGTCGTTACACACTTTAAGCATAATAAACAAATAATATCCATAATAAACATATAAGCATAATAAATATTCCCTAAAAATTATAAAAAATGTTTAAACACGTCACCATGTACTTTAAATATAAAATGCATGTTCATTAAAATCAATGAGATGTGTGATCAGCACATACACATCCTTCGCGAGAGAAAGTATGGCAATAAAAGAAGAGAGTTAAGTGAAGATGATAAAACATAACATAGCATTTGTTTTCCATAATTTGTTCGACAATGTGGGACATATTAGATTTCTTTGCATCATGTAATGAACGTGCTTGAATTTAATGTTAGCCATGACAGATGCTCTAGAAAACCCATGCTATTTTTTCTTTTCATTAAGATTCGTTTATTCAAAATTTTATTGTACACTGCCTTTATTGGCATGATATATAATTGGTCAAAAATAGGATCAGTATGTGCACCGAACGGAGAATTTGAAATCGTTGGAACCACTTTCTTTTGTAACATGAATAAAATGTTGGTGTTTGAGCTGGTTGTGTTGCCCCATACATATGGTATAGAAAAAGAGAGTTATATAGTAAGAGCTTCGCTTTTAATGGCAACAAGAGGCGTAATCCTACTAGTATACCTGTAACTTGAGCAAGCTTGTAGGCAATAATGTTGACATGTTCATTCCATAACATGTTTTTCAGAAAAATGATACCTAGACTCTTGACTGAAGGTACTACTTTTATCACGGAGGTTTTTATTTGAAAACATCCATGGACCATTTGATTTTTGTTCTTTCATTGAAAAAGCACACTTTTTCTTTTGGTTTCATTAATAGTTAGGGAGTTTGAGAAACACCACTTGTTTATTTGTTCTACAGTATCAATGGCAGTACTGACTAGCTCTCCAATGTTTCTGAAAGTCAAAAATAAACTGGCATCATCCGCATATATAACAAATCACGCCGTAGTGTTAATATTCATTAAATCGTTTATATAAATATTAAACAATAGTGGTCCTAGAATGCTTCCTTGTGGAACCCCAGCACGTATCGGTAAACTTTTTGAATAGTGATTGCCTATAACAACAGTTTGATACCTATACTGCAGATAACTTTTGATGAAGTTCAGAAATGTACCCCTAAAATCGTAGATATCATGTTTTGTTGGTAAAGTACTGTGATTTATGGTATAGAATGCCTTTGAAAAAGCGATGAATATGCCAAGGGTAACTAAATTTTCTTCAAAGCATCGCAGAATTATTTTTTTGGGGGGTCAATAATGCTAATTCAGTTGAGCGACCTTTTCTAAATCCAAATTGCAAAATCTATAAGTAGATTGTGCTTGTTACAGAATGACGTTATCGTTA